TGCCCCGGAGAAGGAGCCCCGAAGGCAGCGCATCTCGCGGTGCGGAGTCGGCCCCCGCGGGCAGCTGGGCAGCGGGCGCGGGCTCTGCCCGGGGCTGGCCCCCCAGCTGGGCCGCGCGGTCCCCGCCGGCGCAGAGGCTGTCCTCCCCAGGGTCTCCTCTGCCTCCTCCGGCTTCCTCGCCGCCCCGCTCCTGGCCTGGGTCCTCGCCCTGCAACCCCGTGCCCACCTGGCCGCGCTGTTTCCTCACCTCCCCCTCCTCAGGCTCCAGAGTGGCGTCTTTCCGGCCTCGTTGTCCTTTCACATCACAAGTCTCCAGTCCAGACCCAGCAGTCCGCACCCCTCCTTCCTTCAACAGCTCCGCTGAACTGCCGGGGCCTTCCTTTCTGGCGACCACTCTTCCCAAGCCTCAGGGTCAGCGGTCCAGGCACAGTCTTGTCTAGTGGACACGAGAGGAGCAGTGACCACAAGGAGCGAGGAGTCGCGCTGGGAAGGGAGCCGGGGGAGTCCGGGGCGCCAGGTCCAGGGTGGGGATCAGAGCCTCCGCCTGCGATTGTGGGGAGGGGGAAGGGAGCGTGGCATCAGTCTGGGGGTGGGGATGGGGCCTTCTAAGTGGGATAAGCAGAGTTTGCAAGGGCCCCCAAAGGATTTTGAAAGGGGTTCAGGATGGCTAGTAACGGAAGCCATGACGGGAAAGGCTGGAGCAGGAGAGGGGCAGGTGGAGGAGAAGCCCTTTCAGTAAGGCCTGGTGAGCTCATTCTAAAGACCGTGGAGTAGGGGAGCTTGAAAGGATAGGACACACCTTCCTCTTGGAATGCTGTGTTTATCTGTCTGGGGGTGGAGAGAGCCGGTTCTGTTTACTGGTCCAGAACTCTGCGATGGTTTGGTCTGGGTTTTTAAATTTTTGTTTATGTTTTGATGAGCCCAGGCTGGTGACAGTGGCGAGGGCTGCAGACCAGAGACTCTGGAGGGAGCCCAGGTTTTCTAGACCAGGCACAGGATCAGCAGTAGACAGGCAGGGGAGAGATGAGGGGACAGAAGGGAGGCCTTGGGGATGGGTGGGGGGGAGGCATGGTCGGGGGAGGCTAAGGAGAGAAGGGAAGGGGTCACAGAGAGCTCTCCGGGTTTAGGGAGCAGCTGGATGAGAGTCTCATTTCCAAGGACACTGGGAGCTGTGGCCTGAGGATGGTGGGGGGACTGCATTCAGTTTCAGATATGTGGCCAAGAGACTGGCGCAGACATGCCAGTTCTGTTGATATTCCCAAAGCTCCCAAGCTGGTTTGTATCTGCTGCCACCACCACACTTAGCTAATTACCTTGAAGTTTGGACTTATTTGGATGGAGACTAACAGAAAATAGATTTTTCTCCGACATAAAATACTTATGAGCTTTTGAGGTAAAAACAAAAGGTATGGATTCTAAAAGCACCATGTATTAGGTTGGCAACTTTCAGGGGTGTGTTGAAACAGCATTTCTCTTTATTTTGGGGTTCCAGAGACTGCATCATGGAAACTCTCTCTGAAGCAAATGGCACCTTTGCCATTCACCTTTTAAAGATCCTATGTCAAGACAACCCTTCACGCAACGTGTTTTATTCCCCTGTGAGCATCTCCTCTGCCCTCGCCATGGTCCTCCTAGGGGCAAAGGGAAACACAGCAGCCCAGATGGCCCAGGTAAGCTTGCCTGTCACCCAGAACAGGAGACTGGCCTCAGCTATGTGTCCCATCACCTGCTTCACGTGCTCCAGAGTGACTGAGGAGGGAGGACGCCCCGTGGTGCCTGTGTGCGCCACACCATTCCAGGGAAGAAGGTGCAGGGGGCAGACCAGGCAGGGGGTCTGGTCCTCTAAGATTTTGGCAGGGAAAAAGTGTCCTTGGTTAATAACTTGGAAAAGACTACCGAAATTTTGTCCTAGCACTTTGTTGTTTAGAAAATGACACTGAAATTATTTGAAACGTAAGTTGTTGAGATCTGTCTCTCTTTTGGATCGAGAGACTTTGTACCTATAGTTATTCATTGGGAAGGAAAGATAATACCGGTTTCACCTCGTTTATATAATAACATGCCTTCCCAGCTCCGGGGCAGAGGGACAAACAGAAATATGCCAAGGAGGATTCAAAGATATGTGCTTGACTACAGGCAGACTGCAAAGGCGTCAGTTAACTTGGTTTAACAAACATTCTGTGAACCTCTGGGAATAATTCATGATCAGACCCTGTCCCCAAGGGTTTATAGAGAGAGGCAGGGGACAGTGCCTGATAGGAAACCTAGAAGCTGTGTCATTACTGAGCCTGGGGTCACTGCACTCACCTTCATTGTGGAAACATTAGTCACGCTGCGCTTAGTAAGTTTCAGGTTGACTTTCTCTTCCCTTGACAATCCTTTTCAGTAATGACTACTTGTTTTTAATAATTTCTTAGCTAGTTTTGTGAGAGAGTGAAGTTTTATGTGCAGAGGACGAAACCTAAATAAGCAGGGAGAGGCTCTCTCAAAGAAAATATATCTGAGCCGGACTCAGTGGCTTAGCCTGTAATCCCACGCCTTTAGGAGGCTGAGGTGAGTGGATTGCCTGAGCCCGCGGGTTCGAGACCTGCCTGGGCAGCAAGACCTCATCTCTACAATAAATCAAAAAATCAGCTGGGTGTGGTAGTGCATGCCTGTAATTCCGGCTACCCTGAATGAGGCGGAAGGATCGCCGGAGCCCAGCAGGTCAAGGCTGCGGTGGCCGGGAGCGGCCACTGCACTCCAGTCTGGGCAACTGAGTGAGACTCCAACTCAAAAAAAAAAAAAAGAAAATATATCTGGAGATAGAACATCACAAAGGGAACACACAGGCCATGTAAATGTGCATATTCAGGGTGATAAAGGAAGACAAAGGTTTTTAAAGAAAAATATGAGAATTACAAAATTGTCTTGAAATAACTGTCCTTGACTGCAAAGATTAATAACAAAGACAATGTTAATTTGAAGTTGAATAGTTCCTGGGCACATGTCCTTGCAGAAATATCTTTTTGCGCGTAAGGCTGCAGTGGCTTTTGTGTAAGGTTGTGGTTTTTACAGAGTACTTTGTGATAGTTTTGTTATTAGGAACCCACGCGTGAGACTCCTCTCTTCAAGACCTTCCCAGGCTCTATATATTGGGTTCTTTCTTTCCTTCCCTACTTCCTTCTTTCCTTCCTTCCTTTCCACCCTTCCTTCCTTCCTTTGTCATTAGTTGACTCCATTTTGATTCTGTAGTTCATTATGTTTGAATCTTTATGTTCTCTTTCTGTGTTTTAGGCTCACTATTCAACCCTTACAGGATACTTTTTTTTTTTAGCACACCAACATTATCTGGTTACTTTCTGGGGTGTGACTCTGGTAGCTCTCCAACCTCCCAGTGTTCAACCAGATACTAACTGGACACTCAGTAAGCTGAGTACACTCGCCTCTTATAACATGAAGGGAAGTTCTAATAGCAACAGAAATATTTTTAAAAATTATTTCTTTTTCCTTTATTATATAAGTGTCAGAACCCATTGTAAGACTCTTTAAACTTCAAAGTAGAAGGGAGGAGAAAAATCTCTATGGGCCTACCATGCAGAGACAATCATTCTTGATGAAGTATAGCATTTTCTTCCAGTTCTGTTTCCCCCATTTTGGCTTTATATTTTATATTTTGGTGATCATACTGTATCTTGACTTTTACAAATGTGCTTTCAATGAATGTGAGGAGTCAATGAGATCACTATAGTAATAGTGGTATTACAGTTAAGTATATTTAGATTTAGTTTTAGGTTTCATTTTTGGTTTTGTTTTTGTTTTATGTCTTTTTATTTGAATTGGAATCTCACTCTGTTGCCCAGGCTGGAATGCATTTAGCACACCCACAGCTACTGCAGTCTTGACCTGCTGGGCTCAGCCTTCCAAGTAGCTGGAACTACAGGTACACACCACCATGCCTGGCTAATTTTTTTATTTATTGTAGAGACAAGGTCTCACCAAGTTGTCCAAGCTGGTCTCGAATCCCTGGGCTCAGCAATCCTCTCATCTCTGCCTCCCAAACTGCTAGGATTATAGGGGTAAACCACTGTGCCTGGTTCATTTTTGTTCTATTTCTGACAGATTTTCTTATCAATAATCTATAAGCTTTATAAAATAAATTAAGTAGCTTTTCTGTGTTATAGAACAATGTGTATTGCATGAGAAATATACATTTCTTGGATATTAGAAAAATTTCATCAACAGATCACCCTTTTTAGAAGTAATTCTCTATTTTTTTGTGTTTTTCATTGTCACTGGTATATTCATATTTTTGACTTGCATTAGGTAATGTATCGTCTATACTTTGCTGAAAAGTATTATAGTTGTTATTTTAACATTTCCTCTGTAACCTCTTTTTCATTTATAACTTTCCTTTTTCATATTTTTCTTTTTTCTTTTTTTTTTTTGAGTTGGAGTCTCACTCAGTTGCCCAGACTGGAGTGCAGTGGCCGATTCTGGCCACCGCAGCCTCGACCTGCTGAGCTCCGGCGATCCTTCCACCTCAGCCTTCCAGTAGCTGGAACTACAGGCATGCGCTACCACACCTGGCTAATTTTTTGATTTTTATTGTAGAGATGAGGTCTTGAACCCGCGGGCTC